AAGACCCCGACATTGCAGGCTCAAACTAGAGCCCGAGCTAGGGGAGCCTCATCACTAAGACTTCAGACTCGACATCTACAACAAACAGAAACAAACTCTATTACTACATGAAGGATCAAAACATAAGGAAGCTCACAGGGCATGAAGAACAGCTCAACCAGTTCATTATGTTCGTCACAAAATACATGAACATTCCAACAATTCAACAAAAAGGAAAACATCCAATGTAGTGGAGAAGACTACCAACCTGAAGATGGTGCAGCAAAGCAATGCTAGAATCCCTCTCAAGTAAAAAGCACTTTGTCTTCAACAATCACTACAAGATGAGCAAATGAAGGTAAGGTAAAGAATGGAAACTTATCCTTCTTATATATAGTTCAACATGGCTATTAACATTCAAAAATTTCAAATTCAAACCATGAGAAAACCCCACATGGAGAATCTTCAAACTTCTAACATTAAGGAGTTTCAAATTTCAAATGTTTCAGTTCCCCCCTCAAAAAAAAAAAAAAAAAAAAATCCGAAAAAAAAAAAAGGGAAGGGGGAACACAGCAGCTTCATCAATGGGATTCAACTCCCAATCTCAAAAGCTTCACACTATGTTCATCAAGATAGTGCGAAGCACAATCAATTTATGGTGCCAACAAAAGCTTCATCAATGGAGGACAAATATCAATCTCAAAAGCTTCGCACTATGTTCATCAAGATAGTGCAAAGCATAATCAATTTATGGTGCCAACAAAAGCTTCATCAATGGAGGATAAATATCAATCTCAAAAGCTTCGCACTATGTTCATCAAGATAATGCGAAGCACAATCAATTTATGGTGTCAACACCAAAGCTTCACCTATAAAGCTTCACCACCAAAGCTTCACCTATAAAGCATCACCACCAAAGCTTCACTTATAAAGCTTCAACCCCAAAGCTTCACTTATAAAGCTTCAACACCAAAGCTTCACCTATAAAGCTTCACCACCAAAGCTTCACCTATAAAGCTTCGCCAACCAAAGCTTCACCTATAAAGCTTCAACACAAAAGCTTCACCTATAAAGCTTCAACACCAAAGCTTCACTAGTCAAGCTATCTACCCAAGCACAAATCTATAGTCAATAAACCTTACCTATTAAACTATTTTCCAAACACAAAACCTTGTGGCAAATAAACAAATTTTGTTCACACAACCAAGATTCTCTTGAACTTGTACAACAACACATGAGTGCACACAAACTTTTTTGTTTTACATCCACAATATCCCTATCATAAACAGACATACAATTATATACAATCTAACCCAAGCAACCTTTTTTTCTCCCTCTCCCTCTTCCGCCTCTTTCCATCTATCAAATTTCTGCAACTCCTGCTCTTCTTCAGTAGAGCTGAATTTTGGACATCTTATAGTTCTTGAGCAGATGAACAACTTTCACGAAGGAAATGTTTCCATTTGAGCGACGGAAGTTAGAGTGATGAAGCTCCAACAAAACGACGGTCAGATTTCTGCAAGCTTCAACGCTGCTGCGGTGTTTCGAAGATCTGGACATATCCAACCGTTAGTGTGTTCTGAATTTTTGATATGTTATGGAAGAGATGATGAGGAACAACTTTGTTGAAGAAAGTATGTTGATCGGAACACGAAAAAATGAAGTTTCGAAGCTCACAATAAGTCTGACGGATTAACAGAAAAATGATGCACAGTTACTCATCATACCTGAATATCTGGAGTTGTATTACTCCGATGAATCTCAACATTGGATATGTTGTAGTTCACCAGCTAAGGAACAATTTTGATGAAGAAAGTATGTTGATCTGAACAAGAAAAAATGAAGTTTCGAAGCTCACAATAAGTCTGTGGGTTAACAGCAAAATGATGAACACTTACTCAACATACCTGAATATCTGGAGTTGTACTACTCCGATGGCTCTCAAATTTGGATATGTTGTAGTTCACAAGCTAAGGAACAATTTTCATGAAGACAACCTTGCGAGTTAAGCTACAGAACATAGTGTTATATTGCAGAGCTACCGCACCCTCTACGTTAACTCCTTCCTTCCCTTCCTTGGCTCCAACACCCACTTTCCTTCATCATGCCTTTGGACTCATTCAGATTTTTACGAGGACATGAAGACCTTTCCAGCAAAGAAAGGAAAAGGAAAGTCAAAAGAATAGCTAAAAGCCACCAAAAGTGACGGACAAAAGGAATAAGTGCACAATGCCATATTGAACAAAGTCCGGGGAAATGGGGAAGAAGACACAGGCAAAGGGATGAGACTTGAGTCTCATTGTTATTATTTATCTACCTCCCAATATGCAGCAAGAATACATTGGGCTTCACAAAAACTAAATAAAGGGGAGTGGCACAAACCTGTTCTCCTCTTTGGGCTTGCCACACAAATAACAAATGAACAAAGGCACTGGATCCCTTCTTTTTTGTGGGCTTGCAAACAAATGAGCAGTTTTTGGGCTACACAAAAATTTTGGGCCCTCCCAAAGCTAAACCTAGCTTGAAATATTTTTGGATAAGGCATATATGAAGGTGTGACATCAAAACAAGGCTTCGTTACTTTGACATATTAGTAGCAAGCAAGACACCTCATTCGGCAACTCTCATCGCCTGAAGACTTGGGGGACTCCCACCATATGCTACTGCACCTTGATACTCGGAAGTCTCATAACCACTCAGTGACTTGGATTTTTCAAGTCTCCAACCGAGAAGTTTTCCTCACTCAGGAAATTAAGGGAATACTACCTCAAACTACATGCTTCACTCACAAAGCTTCAACAATACAAGTTTCGACAAAAGAAAAAATTCAGAGAAAACTTTCTGAAGAAGGCTTTGGTGTATTTAACACAATATGTTGAAATGGAGGCAAAGCTTATTTATTAATATTTTCGATAAAGCCACAAATATGTACATATACATGAGTCAAAATAAACAAACAAAAGGGAGCCTTCACAAAGGTTGCTTAAGGGAAGTCTCAGCAGTCGGTAGAGCCCCAGAAAGAGAAAGCACCGGAGGGTGGTTATCCGGAGCCTCAGTACTTGACAAAACCCCAGAAGGAGGAGGCATTGGAGGTTCATCATTTGAAGCTTCATTACCAGGTACAGCCCCAGAAGACGAAGGCAATAAATGCCTTTGGAACAAACCCACAAACCGCTGTTGATCAAGTAAAACCTTACCATCAGATTCCTTCATCTGGTCAAGCTTCCTCTTCATGTTTGTAGCATAGTCATGGGCGAGCCGGTGCAACTGTTTATTCTCATGCTTGAGCCCTCTAATCTCCTGTTTGAGACTCATCACTTCAGCAGCCAATGATTCAACTTGGCGGGTTTCTAGCAAATAGGCGTTGGGCCATATTAGACACAGAACCTGCACACTGAACACTAAGAGCCAGAGAGTCCTTAACAGCCAACTCATCAGACCGTTTGGAAAGTAGTCTGTTATCTTGGGGAGTGAGAAGGTTCCTGGCCACCACTGCAGCGGTCATATCATTCTTCATCACAGAATCCCAAACGGTAAGAGGACCAGTAGGGGATATGAAGGATGGGCGCCATATGTTGTCTGGAGAAGGCGTGGCTGTCTCTTCTCCAAGGTTCAAGTCAAAACGACGGTCGGAGGGTCCAGACATTTTCAAATGTGTTGAAGAGGGAAGAGGTCAGACAAATCAAGATCTTAGAAGTGTAAGAATGGAGCTTCTACTGGTAGAGATTCAAGTGTGCTGTGGAACTTAATGCCAGCCTCTATAAAAATCTGCACTCGACGGAGCTTCAGAAATCGAAGAGGCATTTGCTTTCTCAAAAGCTGGGCTGCTCAGAGACCACGAGGGCCGATCTCAGAAATCGAAGAAGCACCTGCTTTTTCAGCCTCGTCAGCACCTGTCACATGCACACACTCAGCTTTGCGAAAATTACGGGCAATCTGTCGAAGATTTCTGGTGAAGTAGAAAGCACGTGAATCTTACTGTTCAATCACCGCTCTCCACATGCACCATCAACTCCTCGGGTACCACATATAACTTTGTCAAAGATCTCTGACAAAGTTTAGGCACGAGAATTTCGAAGTTCCAGTTACCCTACTATTACCCACAAGGGTAAAGGAACAGCACCACTGCTTGACAACTGGAAAGTCCATATGTGTGTCGACCTCCGTGTTTTGCAGCAAGACAGGTTGGCAAGAACGTCCAACCTTTACTCACATTCGAGAAAAGACTCCCAACATAATTACTTTCTCAAAAACTGAAGTAGCACCGCTTTCCGAATCTCGAAAGTCAGATCCTCGACGGGATTGCTTGTTCGAAAACCGAAGAGGCACAACTCTCAGAACTTCGAGAGCTAGATTTCCTTAGATAAAGCTTGTCTGTAATCTTCACACGTAACATCAGCTTTCCAGATACCACATACCACTTTTTCAAAGTGCTCTGACAAAGTTAAAACACGTGAAGCTGGCAGCTCCCACTACATTGCTATTACCCACAAGGGTAAAGGAATAGCACTACTACTTGTTATTGGGAAATCCCTATATACATCGACCTCCCTCCTCAACGGACAGGCAAACCTGCAAAAATGCTCAACCCTTTCTCACATTCGAGAAGGCACCCTCAACATAACCTCTCGAAATACTCAGCTTTATTTCCCCCCGATAATACCTCAGCAAATAAGCCACACCAAGAACAAGAGTATCTCATATCATCAGGGTCGAAAGCAAGAGTATCCCATATCATGCTTTCTCCCTGTCTTTGTCTTTGTCCTTGTCCACACCTGCAGGACAAGGAGAAAGAGAGCAGTCAGTCGGAACCTGAAATCAAACCTCCAATCTGGAACTGACTGCCTGAGACCTTTGCCTGGTTGCTTACTCAACATTGCTCTCGAGTACTCATCCTCAACTGCTGTCAAGGTCACAAATTCCACCAACAAATACCTCATGACAGTTGATCAGATATTGGCTCTTTACACTGAAGCTGCCAAGCGTGGATGAGTCATTAGGAAGGAATGTTCTGAAGGACCATTTAAATGCAAATGGTACACACCACTTCTGCCATGCAAAAGATTGAAGCAGAAGGTTCAACGGTGAGCTGAAACAGATCACTACAACACGACACATTTCCATACCACATTCATTATTCCGTCAACAGCAAAAGTATCCCATATCATCAAGGTCGAACGTACTCTAGATTTGATGGACTTGTTTTGACCCTCAAATTCTTGAGTCGGCCTTATACTCTGAAGGGAACCAGAAAACCCTCCAGTACAGTTCAAGAATAAGCATGTGGAAAGTTACTTCTTCAAAAGCAAAAGTATCTCATATCATCTCTTCTCCATTTGCTTCTCCTTATCCTGGCAGCTGAATGAGAGACAAAGAGAAGGAGAACAATCAACCGGAAGCCGAAGTCGAACCTCCGATCCTGGGTTGCTTGCTTGGAAGTTTGACTGCTTACCTTGTCTGTCACCTCTTTCGGCAGATCTCCTAGCTCGGCGACTTGGGGGACTCCTACTATATAGGGTTTGTATTGCACTTGACCAAGCCCGAAACTACAAGTAAGCTTCAAGTGAAATTGATACATTACCTTGTGCATTTTCATCGGTTAAAGATACCACCCATGGATGGAGGAAAAGTACTTCCAGAGAAGATGCCACATCTACATATGAGACAGATAAGGCACGTGAAAATGATACCACACTTCAGTACTTAGAAGTTTCGTGATTACTCAATGGCTTGGATCTTGCAAGTCCCCAACCGAGGAGCTTCCCTCACTCGGGAACTTAGGGGAGCACTGTTTGTACCATACTTGACCAATCCCGAAACTACTGAGCACCGGTCAACGTTATACCGTCAAGGACCTAGAAGAGCTTCCCTTCAACCAGGAGGCCAATCACAAAGCGACACGTGTTGTCATCAGAAGCCAATCACAACACGACACGTGTCGATGTTAGAACAAAACTAGAAACTCTCCTCTATAAATAGGGATCATTCTCCCACAATAATCTCGAATGTCATTTTTGTACTAAACTATTCACTAGACTCACTAAACCAGAGCTTGAACCTATGTATTTGTGTAAACCCTTCACAATTAATGAGAACTCCTCTACTCCGTGGACGTAGCCAATCTGGGTGAACCACGTACATCCTGTGTTTGCTTCCCTGTCCTTATTCATTTATGTACTTATCTTCACTAGTGACCGAAGCAACCAAGCGAAGGTCACAAACCTGACACTTTCTGTTGTACCAAAGTCCTCGCTGATTTTGTGCATCAACACACTCCTTTTTGAAAACTCACGGCAACCTCTACCCGTTTCTTTCTCCCACGTTGGTTTCATATATATCTATATATAAATATAAAATTTTGTGAGATATTAAATTCTTTTTATCTCATTTTTAAATTTCTTAGATATTTTTTAGATATAATTTTGGTAGATTAATATTTTCTCAGAAAATCGAAGAGGAGTGGAGTTGGTCACGTCTTTTTTTTTTTTCATTTTTCAATAAAACGAATTATAAATTTTTGTTTTTTTAACAATATTTCTATGAGATATTAGTCCCTCTCTCTCTCTCCGAAATTGGAGGAGGAGGGGAGTTGGTCACGTCTTTTCTTTTTTCTTTTTTTCATTTTTTCAATAAAAAACAATTTTAAGTTTCTGTTTTTTCTTACAATACTATGATTGCGTTTTATTTTGTATTTTCTTATTTTTATTTCTGTGAGATATTAAACACTCTCGCTCTCCTAAAATGGAGGAGGAGTGGTGTTGGTTGGTTGGGTTAAATTCTTTTTATCTCATTTTTTTTATAAGAAAATAAATCAGGGATTTCAGCACATCCCCTTTTTATCTCTTTTTTTTCCTAATAAAACGAATTATAATTTTTTTCTTTCTAACAAAATTACCCTTCGGTTTTTATATTTATTTTTTCTGTCTGTTTTTAAAAAAAAAATTTGTTTGAGGGGCTTTATAGTCTAATTATTTTTGGTGAAGCCTCAAGACACTAAACTTTCCTTCTGACTCTCTAATATTAAAGATTAAAGATATTGTTTCTACATAATAAATGTTGTCTCTCTTTTCTAGTCACTTATTGAAATTAATTAAAAACGGAATCATTTATGCCTGGTTTGATAATTATTTTGGATTTAGTTTTCAGATTTTATTTTTTGTACTTGAGATATGAGAAATGAAAGGTAAAGTGACAGAGAAAAGAAGAAATAAGAAATACTTCGTCCCTTGTATTTTTTCTTTATCATTAAACAACATAAGTAAAACTAAAATAACAAAACGAATTGTAGATATGAATTGAAGTCTTAGTTTTGCAAAACTAACTGTATGTTCAAACATGGAAGAGAAGAGTAGCTAAGCGATTATAAATTTATAATACTTGATCAGGTGAAGCATGGAAGAGTAGCTCCAATATATTTATTAATTTATCCTTACATGCATGGTTCCCTTCGCTGTGTCTTCAATTCATAAATATCATCTATTTGTACTATCTCTTTAATAAAAATAGGATCCACCAATATATATGGATTCCATCTCTATTAATAAAACGATACAAATAAATGATGAAAATAACATTTTTGCAGCAAATATTACTCCAAAGTTTCCCCAAGTCAAAGTAAAAAATCCAAAAACCCAAAGAAATAACCACAAGATATACCGGTGGAAAATTTAGTACAAATACAAAGCAGATAGATAAATAGTTATTGAAACTTCAACTTCAAGCCGTTAAACCCACGCTGTGAAGCACGACGGTCTCCACCGTGAGGCCGGGCCCAAATCCGAAAAGCACACCCCACTCCAGTCCCTCCCCGGTCGTTTTGAGTCCTTTCTCGGCGGACTTCCTCCTGACCTCGTCCAAAATAAAAAGCACACAAGCACTCGACATGTTACCGTAATCCGACAACACTTGCCTTGTTGCTTCTAGTTTCTCCGGCTTCAATGCCAACTTGGCCTCTACTTGGTCCAGAATAGCAGGGCCACCTGGGTGTGCAATCCAGAAGAGTGAGTTCCAGTCCGAAATCCCAATAGGCTTGAAAGCCTCATTAAGGCTCTTTTCGATGTTCTTCGAAATAAGCCCGGGAACATCCTTGAGAAGGTGAAATGTAAGCCCTACTTCACGGAGATGTCCGTCGATAGCCCCATCACTGTCGGGGAGAATGGTTTGTGCCGCCGACACCAATTCAAACAAGGGCTTCTCGACTTCGGGCACTGGATCCGCACCAATGATTACGGCCGCTGCACCGTCGCCAAACAAAGCTTGGCCCACAAGACTATCAAGGTGGGTGTCACTAGGCCCACGGAAGGTAACCGCGGTGATCTCAGAGCACACAACAAGAACACGTGCACCCTTGTTGTTTTCGGCCAAGTCCTTGGCCAAACGGAGGACCGTCCCACCGGCGAAGCACCCTTGCTGGTACATCATGAGGCGCTTGACGGAGGGGCGGAGGCCCAAGAGCTTGGTGAGTTGGTAGTCGGCGCCAGGCATGTCGACACCGCTGGTGGTGCAAAAGACCAAGTGGGTGATTTTGGACTTGGGCTGTCCCCATTCCTTGATGGCTTTGGTGGCAGCCTCTTTGCCAAGTTTTGGGACTTCCACAACCACCATGTCCTGCCTTGCATCAATTGAAGGAGCCATGTACTCGCACACACTTGGGTTCTCTTTTAAAATTTCTTCAGTCAAGTACATATAACGTTTCTTGATCATAGATTTGTCGCCTGAAAATATTTGCATGTATATACAAAATTAATTATGCAACAAATTATAGATCCACAGCTGATGAACTATAAACAAATTGCTATATATATATATATATATATATTTATTAAAGAAGCCAAAACGCAAGATTAGTAAAATAAGAAAAACGGAGAAGTTAAGGAGTACATACACATGCGCTGGAATTTTTCTTTGAGCTCAACCTTGTGCTCGCTGTTGGTGATACGAAAGTAGTAGTCGGGGTAGGTAGCCTGATCCACACAGTTGGAAGGAGTTGCTGTCCCGATGGCCATGACTGTGGCTGGACCCTCCGCCCGTTGAGCCTTGCGAACTTCCTCGACTGTAACCATTTTTTCTGTATATCCGATCGTCGAGAAAGATCAAAGAGGCTAGTTACAGTTGCAATGGTAAGGTAGAAGTTGAGGGTGTGACACAATGTTAAGAGAAGCGGTTGTATTTATATGAAAATGGTGAAAGCGGGTAGCTGGGCATCACGTGCCTGACGAATTGTGTTGTTAGAATAGAAAGCCTCACCCTCAACCCACCTACGAGATACAACTGCGAGCGACCAGTGAGGCTCGGCTGCTTCGAGTACTATATTTGTATTAGTATAACGGCGCAGGTGGTAGGTACAGGATCGCAGTTCCTGTGTTCAACTACCAGGGCTGCAGAGATATTTTGGTCAATAAATGGGTTTTTTTAGCTAAAATAATCCCTGAGATTTGTATAACTTCTCATTTTAGTCCCTGAGATTTAAAATCAATAGAATTGATTCCTGAATTTGTCGACAATCAATCATTTTAGTCCTTAGGTGAAAAATTATGTTAAATAAGTATCAAACTGACTTCAATTTAATAAACAATATGCCAAAATGATTAGACAAAAATTGAGGATATTTTTGTCATTTTACCCTTATTTTATGGAGATTTTTCATAGAATGACCAAAATGATTGATTGTGGACAAACTCAGGGACCAATTCTATTGATTTCAAATATCAAGGACCAAAGTGAGGAGTTATGCAAATCTTAAGGATCATTTTGACTAAAAAGGCCAATAAATGTTAGCAAAATTTGATTTTGTTGCATGTGTTACAATATTTTAATGGATAAAACATTAGGTTTCTACTCATGCATCATGGATTTAAGAACTCTTAACTCCCCAAAATTATTCCCGTAATAGTTTGGGGGTTTTTTTTTTTTTTTTTTGGTTGGTTAAAGAAATAAATGTTAGCAAGATTAATATCTCAAAAGGTACAAGAGTCAAAAACATGCCACGCACCAAAGTCGAACACCTATAACACAAAGAAAGTCCGCCATTTTTTAAAAAATCACAATTAGGACATAAATTCATGTCTATAGGCTAGGGATGGGCAAAAGCCGGTATGATTCGGCATTAACCTCAAGTTGCACATCATGTCAAACCAACGTAACATTTTTTTTTTTTTTAACGCAACAAACGTAACAATGTAACATAATTGAGCCAATTTAACTCGTTTACAAATTTGTTTTGGTCATTTTCTTGATGAGCAATTAAACAAATATTCCAAAAATCTCTTACATGTATGAGAGGAAACTTCATTCTGTACAATTGAAGATTTGTTGAGGAAATTTTGAAAGATGACATAATTCAAATAATGGTTTAGGATTTTAGCTTTGATTTTTTTTTTTAATAAAACGATATATATATTTACATTGAAGTGTAGAAGAATTTAAACTAAGTTACTTATTGGGCTAGCCAAATAAGTTGATTTGAACTTGCCTTCGACGAGAGTTGAGGTGGAGCAAGTGTATTTGAACTTGCCAAATAAGTTGGTTTGAACTTACAAGTAAAGAAGATTTTAGTTTTGATATTAAATAGTTGATAGCAATGTGTGTAGTGGTGGAGCAAGAATTGTAAGGTTCGTTGGGGCCGAAATTTAAATTATTTCTTTAGGTTTTTTATTTTTTTATTTTTTATAAATTATTTTTTAAGGTTAAGAGCAATATAATCCTTTGTAATTAGGAATATATCACAATCAATTTTGGTTTGGGTCAATAAGCTTTATTTATTTATTAGCTTTAGGTCAATTAGGCAAACGCATAATTTTTACATGTGGTTCAATATCCTAGTATATAGAGTATTAGGTTTCTACTCATGCGTTCTGGGTTCAAAACTTTCTCTCTCCTAAATTATCGTAATAATTTCGAACTCTCCTCCTCCCCTAATAATAGTATATTAAAAATAAAGGCAAACCCATGAATTGATTTCCATACCCTTGTAATTGAGTAAGAAACTTACACTTGTAGATTTATAGCTTGTTTACGCAACTGTACTCGGAATCAACATATGAAATTGAATTCCAATTATAAGATACAATAGTGTTCACCAAATTTAGGGAATCAAAAGGTTGGTGGGGCCCACACGAATGTTGGAAGCCAACTCCAAAATGTGGAGGATTTGAACACCTTACATTTAGGTGGTAATCATGATTCCAGGAGAATCCACTTTTTTGTACATATTATACCTTCACATAACCCAACAACAATCTGCACGTTCTTTCTTCTCTGTGCTCTTCACACAACTACCATCTCCACCACTAGCAACCCCCGCTTTCCGCTGTACCTTCCCCCACCACCTGCTATTAACCCCCGTCGTACCTTCCCCCACACCAACAACCTTCACTTCCCATGCAATTAGTTGTACAAGAAAGTAATGCAGAGAGAGAAAGGACCCTATTCTATGGCTTCCAATCAAAGAAATAATTTGAGATCTCGAGAGAGAGTGTTACAGTGGGATATGTAGGTTATTTTCTAGTTGTATTCTTCTTTACTTGTAAGTGAAGGATTTTAGTTTGATTCTCGCTAAACGCGAATTTGAACCATATTATTACTAGCTTATTGTGAGGTTTAGCTCACTCCCCTCACCCATTGATATAGCTAATATCGTTTGCTAAAAAAATTATAAACTAATTTATTACAATAGTGACAGTTTAACTCTTCACTTTAACAAACAAATAAAAATAACTATTTAAATTGTTATTAAAAATAAATATAGGAATGAAATAAAACAAAAACAATGAGATTTTAGTAATCATATTAATTTCTATTTCGATTCAGGTGAATTAGTAAACAATCCACATGAACTCAACTTTATTCTCATTCGGATTCCAAAACATTTAAATAAACAATTTCAACATGAATCCGATTCGGACCTCTTGTTATTCCAACTCCTTCTATTGTGATTACGGTTACGTAAATAAGTCATTAATGATCTAAAAGACTAAAAATTCTAAGTTGCGTGTCATTGAAGCTCAAAATTTACATTGCATTGCAGCTTTCGTTCTACGAATTCAAATTCAGTATTTGTAATTTCTATTTCATAATATCTAAATTAGTTACAACTTACAATTAATATTGGTTTGATTAATAAATAGGGAAACTAATGAAAATAAATTTAATACTTTCAATTTTAATAAAAAATTAAGTAATAATTTTATTTAATAATTAGGACAAAACTCAATATCAAACCAGTTCAATAAAACTGACCCAAACAAATAATTTATCAAGCTTCCAGTTTTACCCCTAACGTCTCTTGTCCCGTTTATGTGCACCTGGGTAAATGAGTTGGTGACGAACTTGTGCCGCCCAACCGGCAAGATTCTATACGGGGTAACTTATCGAACATTGCCAACCCTCATCTAATCGCAATCTTTTACATCACTAAAATGCTTTGTGGGAAACCACCGGTCCCACCTCATGGCAGACTGTCTCTGCATGCCTCAATTTACGACTTGAAGGGATATGCAGACCCACTGAACATCATTTGATGGGCATATTACAATTATATATATGGAAATCATTTTCTTGATAATCTTCTAATCAAGATCGTTTATCGTACATTGTATAGTTATAAATTATTTTAAATTTTAAAATAAATATAAATAGTACCTAATAAAAACTGACCCTACGATGTACGCTGAACAGTTATGATTACGAGATCCCAGAACCCAAAAAAAAAGATCCAGCAAGGATGCTCCTATATATATATATATATGCCCATTGCTAAGTGATTTATGTCGAGATTCACCTGGGTAGGTTTAGGGTACAAAAATCATTTTATCATCTATATTTGTCCCTTTTTGTGCGGTAGCCATGTTTTTACCATTAGTAAAAAAAAAGTATAAATGAGAAAAAAGACGTAATAGTTTTTAATTTTCCCATCCCAAGTTTTCTATGGATACACGCATAGTGGTGGTTGTTAAATATCTGAATAATATTGTGTCAAACGCTAATGATTTTATGGAAGACCGTGGGGCTAATTTGCACTTTCAGAAGTTTTTATGTACATGCGGCTTAGCAAACTTCCAATATTGGAGAAAACAATACAGAAAGAAAATATCTTCTCGGAAACCTATTTGAGAAAGAAAAAGAAATGTCTTCTCGGAAACCCTTAGGCCTCGTTTGTTTGACCTTCTTAGCTATGACTGGACTAGCTAGGACTAATAACCCATGTTTGGTATATCAAGGGACTAAGTTAAATGGGATTAGTTCGAACTCGTGCCGACTAAGTCCTTTGCTCGCTGATCTTAGCTAAACCCCTCGAAAACTACGGGATTGCTAATCTCGTCTCCACCACTACCAACATCCCGCGAACCCAGTCATCAAAATCTAGCCTTTTTGCCAATCTCCGTCATCCAGCAAACCCAGCAAACCCAACCCCCTATTTGCTTCCCGACGAACCCACAACCCAAATTTCCCAACGAACAGACAAAAGAACGCTTAACACTTAATCGATATGCAGAAATGGGTTCTCCATTTTCGTCGATTGAACTGGAATTAGACCCATAAAACAGAGATAACGGTCTTCGCCTAAAGAACTTTGGATCCGAAAACGATCTTCACAATTTGAGATCCCTCTGCCACACCGCAGCTCCTACTCCAAGCACTTCCTTGGAGGCGAAATGAAATGAATACAAGGGGAGAGAGGGGAGAGGGGATAGTGGTACATATGTGAAACAGAAGAAAAAGGAAGGGGGAAGGAGGAGACAGAGGGCAGAGTAAAAAATGGAAAATTATAAAGAGAGAGGCATAGATATCAGAGAAGAAGATAAGTCTAGAACAAATGGAAAATGAAAAAGAAATAATAAAATATTAATTAATATAGATTAAATTTTAAAAAAATATATTAATAAATATATATTAAATAATATAATATTATAGTCATGCTTCTTAGTCCGACACTGCACCAAACGCTTCACTTAGTTAGTCCAGCTTAGTCTAGTATAAGCCAGTCCAGTTTAGTCCCTGAAGTTAGTCCAGTCTAAGACAGTCTGATGCAACAAATGCACCCTAAAGGTTGGCAGAGAGGAAG